TCAAGTAAGCCACATCTCATATTTTTCCAATTAACTGCTCAAATCTCGACATGCCATTACCAGCAGGAAGTGCAGCATGTCCCTGCTGAGGCCTTCTTCCACCCCACCCAAATTCTCTTTTCTTTTTTTTCCCGAGATGGAGTCTCACTCTGTTGCCCAGGCTAGAGTGCAATGGTGCGATCTCGGCTCACTGCAACCTCTGCCTTTCAGGTTCAAGCGAGTCTCCTGCTTCAGCCTCCTGAGTAGCTGGTATTACAGGCGTGCACCACCACACCTGGCTAATTTGTATATTTTTAGTAGAGATGGGTTTCACCATGTTGATCAGGCTGGTCTCGGACTCTGACCTCGTGATCCGCCCGCCTCGGCCTCCCAAAGTGTTGGGATTACAGGCGTGAGCCACCGCACCTGGCACAAATTCTCTTAACAGTAGGTATTTATTCCACCCACTGGGGTTGAAGAACTGGGCGGTCCCACCAACTTGGGGGCACTATGAGGTAGGCACTCTGCTCCACAAGCTCAACCCAGGGCAGTGAACTGTTGTGCACTCTGGTGTGATTCTGTTTTCCATTTCCACCCCACAGTGATAGTGCTTCCGCTTGGGCGGCTGGGTGTCACCATGCCTGAAAGTCACTCCCAAAGCACAAGACAGTGCCAGGGAGGTTGGAAGTTCCAGCCTCCAACACAGTCTACTCCAGACCCACCCCTTGCCCCATGAGGAGCCCAGTTTTCCAGCCAGGCAGCCCCTTTACTCATGAGGAATCCCTTTGTGGGCTTGGTATCCACCCAGAATCAACCTAATCCATCCAGGAGATTCCCATAAGGGCTACCTCAAAAGGAAAGAGGTGGAACCGTTGGCCTCTGGAGATTTGTCACCTCCCTGGAACAACTTGCTAATGGAGAGTATTGCAAGTGGGTGCTTCGCTGGGCCACAAAAGCAAAACAAAAAGTTCTGCTGCAGCAGGTCCCCAAGTTCCAGTTTTATGGCTCTTTCCCCATAAGGAGCTGGCTGGATCCACTTCAATGCATCTCACAGTTCCATACGAGAGCTGCTTCCTTCCTGATGGAATCCACCGCCCCTCTGGTTTTCAGATGGGACTGCAATGTTTGTGGGGGATTTTCCGGAGCTTTGCTGAGCCCTAGGGTCTAGGGTGCCGGGGCTGCATCTGCTCTGCATCTAGGGAAGATATTCTTCCTTCTGTGTCTTCTGAGTCTTAGTTACTGCTCTGATCAAAAAAGAGTCCTAAAGAAAAGGCACTTCCATTGGTGGTTCTCCCCAAACTGAACTAATTATCTTTCATCCTCCTAACTCTATCCTGTCGTGGTGAGTTTAGGTTGGGGAACTATTAAATGACCTTCCCTCCTGCATCCGCTTACTGCAAGCTTTCCAGACAGGCAATGATGGACCCCTGAGAACATTTTATCCCTGAACAAAACATATTTGTGCTTTTTTGAAAATGTGTGCTCTCAAGAAATCCAGCCCCATGTGCAACAATCTCCATTTCCAAGCAAGTGACTGTGTTAATCTGACTTCTCCCTAGTGTTAACTGAGCCAAACGTGAATCATTCACTTGGCCACAGGGAGAGGTAGACTCGTCGTTCTGTAAGATTACAATCCCATAATCCACCTACTGATCTCTTCTGCTGATGGAAGCCAGAGTCTGGGCTACATTAAAAGATGACTGGGGAAATAAAACAGAATAGCACATTTTCACCTTCTTTCCTATCCAAGGAGAGTTGCTCCCAGATGCTGTATCTGTAGTCCAACTTCTGACTGGCAAACAGTTCAAGAAGGAGGCTGTGGCCTGGATGGCAGAACACCCTGCATGAGATAGCTATCACATGCTAACACATACACATGCAGACAGGGGAGACAAGGAGCAACGAAGAAGTTTGAAGGAGGGGCTCAGGGTCAAGCCTTGGTTGAACCCCTTACATTGCATAGGTCAAGACACTGAGGCCCAGAGTAGTGCAATGACTTGGCCAGGGCCACACAGCTGGTAATAGCAGAGCCAGGGTTCAGGCCACCTTCAGATTCCTACTCCTAGCTTCTTGCCCTTGTACACCACGTCCACCCATGAGCCACTAAAGATGAACCACACGTTGCTTGTGCAGCCTTGGGGCTTCATACACTTAGGGAATGTGTCCTTTCCACCAAACTTCTTTTTCTCTTCCCTGACACCACATTTCTCATCTTCAGAAGTCAGCTCCACTCTCTGAAGCCTTCTATCACTGACCAACTGTTCAGAACTTTAAAGGGCATGTTTATACAAAAATAGGATGCACCCAGCCAAGGATGCTTATCAAGAGTGGCAAAAAACCCCGCAAAAGTAGAGTATCAGGAGTATCAGGGTGATTCGAGGTGTTTAGAAAAAGCAAAGGACTATTATTTAAAAGGAAATGGGCACAGCTTACAAACTCCACGTATAGAACAAGAGTAGGAGACAAAAGAATGGCTGTTTACTCCTTGGGAATAGAGTTCAATCTGATTGTGTCTCTCTCGCTGCTGCAGTTCTTCTGTGATTTCTATTTTCCCTTTATCAGGGCTCATAAGCCACGCTCTAGCCCTCCCTCATGCCCCTAGTCACTTTCTCTCCTCATCTCTGTCCCCAGCCATTCCGGACTGTTTCTGTTGCTTAAATATTCATCAGCGTCTTTTTCATCACACCCTTTCCCCTACCCTGCCACTAGGAAGCTCATCTTCACCCTTTAATTCTCAGTCAGAACAGTTCTGTAGCAAGACACACAGGCTAGCTCGTTATCCCCATGGCATTTACCTCCTTTTGTGAGTAACATGAAAATCTGAGGGAGCATCAGTCAGGAATCTGCCTTGACCATGAACCTGAGTTGTTTAGATTTCTTTTATATGTTCTCCATCAAGAGAATGCCATTCAAACTAGAAAAGGCAGTGCAGACACGGATAGAAGAGAACTGAAGCCCATAACAGCAGCTGGCCATGTCAGGTGCAGTAAATATGCTTCTGTTGCAGTAAATATGGTGCTGAAGTTCATAGTTGTGGTGGGTTAACCCCTGAGAAACAAGAAAGTATTGTATCAAGAGAGAGAAGAGAAAAAATAGATTTTGAAAACTGCAGGTCGACAAGCTTGGTCTTAATCCACAGTAAAATTCTAGAGTAGATTATTAAAGTGTGGTCTGTGACCATCTTTATAGAAGCAAGCATTGATCACTGGGCATTAGCAGAGGTTCACTAAGAACAAGCCATGCAGAGCTAATGTTGTATTGCTTTTACACACAGTTATCACATTGGGAGATCAAGGGAATACTACAAATGAGCAAATAGCAGAGTACATAACCCACCTAAGCAAAAATAAAATAAAATAAAGGACCCACCTCAACTTTGGGAAATGCAGCGTGCTATTATAGTTTCTGTTGAAGATTCACAGGACACATTAGCACATTAAAGGTTCTGAGAAGTCCTGCACCAAAAAACCTATTTAATACCATCTCACTGATCAAGCATTCTACAGAACACACTTGGAAAAAAGCATGTTTTTTAAAAAAAGGATTAATTCCAGCAGGTGTTTTGCAAAGCTTTCTATTACATAAACTGTGAGGAGGTAGAGAAATGAAATGTGGAGTTAAAAATAGCTCACTGGAATCCCAGCTGCGTAGACAACTGTACTGAAAGAGCGTTGGCTGGTTTTGAGAGGCAGTGTAGTGTAGTAGAAAAGCGGTGAGTTTGTGTTCAAATCTCTGCTCCAGTACTTCCAATGGTGTGACCTTAGACAAGTTTCTTAATATCTCTAATGACTCTTAATGTCTCTAATGACTCTTCAGAGTCCTTAGATGAGAAACTGTCATCCCTATTGAGTGGGACTATTGGAATGTGTTTGGAGCAGAGTAAGTGGTCAACACATGCTTGTCTTCCCTTTATCCATGTGAAGAACGGCAGTCACGGCAATGAGAAGGGTGACTATTTGCTATAGATTCGTGGGGAAAATTGGGACCAATAGGAGAATTCCCCAAAGGGAGACAGATTTGATGATGAAAAGCAGGAACTTTATAATAACCAAAAACCTAGAAAACAAAAGAACTGGCTCACTGCCTTTAAGTTGACACTGGAACTTCCACAGATACTTGTAGAAGAGATCTCTGTTTGGGGTGAGAGGTGAGATTAGATGACCCCCCCCAGATCCCTTTCTTTTCTTTTCTTTTTTTGTAAAAGCCATGTTTAATAGTAAAACCTTCCAGTTATACTACTTAACTGAAAGAAACATCCTTTAGCTCCTTCCTTCCAATTACAGCACACTCTCATTTTGAGATAATTTATCCTTTTCACCCAATTACTAGTATGCCCAACAACATGTTTCCCAATTTTACACCTTTCTTTACCACTTATGAAGTATGACGTCACTGTTACGCTTTACGAGTTCTTTAAAAGAAATGTGAAATTTAAAGTTTTACTTTGAAACTATTGGATCAGAAAGTATTAAATATTACTACCACATAAGTTAAAGAATGAAATAAAAAACAAAAGTGGTGTCTATATAATCGGCAAATTACTTGATAAGACATTTTAACTATTTTATAGTTCTGCTTAGCACAAGAATAAACTGGTTCCAAAGTACTACGTGTTTGGCATTTTTACTGCAAGCTTTAGACCATAGTGTTGCTCCTCTCAGCAAGCCATTGCTAAGAAAATGGCAGTGTTTGTGAGTACAGAAATCGTTCTAGCCAGTACGTGGTATTCTACATAATCGAGATAAGAGAATTCTTTATAAAATTGTTTTAAAAAATGCAAAATGACTTGATAATTACCATTGTCTCAAAGGTTATAAGAAAAATGCAGCAAATAGAAGTATTCGTTGATTAATATTATTTTGTTTTGAGAAAGTCAGAAATGATTCTAAGAAATAAGCAATAATAATAAAAGATGTAATGAATACATTGTATCTCTTTTAAGCCAAAGCACACTTTTACCTCAAACAATACAGTTCTAATTTTTTACATTCTGAATTTCCTTTGTCCAAAATAGGACTCCATTTTAAATAGAGTTCATTTGAATTGAGTTCATAATCTAAAGTCACTTTTCCCACAGGATGTTTTCATTTCAGTACCAAACTGCTAAGCGGCAAATGACTAAGTCAGTTATAAAGAATTTGTACCACAGTGAATGATAATTTATAATAACTGTCAATAGAAACCTATAAACTTCTACACCCAAGCCTAAAAGTTACTATAGTATTGAGGTCAGAACAAACATGATTCTTCCATTTGGTCAGATTTCATTTACTAAATAATACTGTCAAGAAATCCAAAGAAGAAACTTTAGTGGGTTCTTCGAAAGCTGCATAATTTTCCAAATGATTTTCCTCTGGTTGCAGAGCCTGTTCAGTCCTTCAATCCTTTTTTAGTCGTTTAGTTTTCGCAGTGATTTCTTGGCATTTTGTTTCTTCTTTTGCTCCTTCTCCCTGGCCTCAATCATCTTGGCCAATTTCCAAGACAGTACAGCACTTGCTAGGAACAGTGGAGTAAGGGCCAAAATAACCGCTGTAAGGAAGCTATATGGGTCCTTTGCAGCCCATTCCACAACATACTCAGCCCAAGGCTTTATATCAAACATCCTCTCTGCAGTCTTATGAAGACTGGGGCTTATGCTTGAGTAGCGATCTCTAACTTTGTCCTGCTGTTATTAGTGACCCAATCACGACTTCAGATGACCCTTGGTAGTCTGTCTTCTTGAGTTCTACTGTACACATCTGAGAGATGATTTAAATTCTGTACAATTGGCTAGCCTATCGGGGCCACAGACCCAGGGGGCCACGTTCACTCCTGCCCCTCGGCCTTGGCGAGCGCGGGCCCCTTGTCGCGCAGAGCAGAGGGTCCTGGGGGACCCTGGGTTGGCCCAGCCATACTTTGCGCCGCCGCCATTTCTGCTGGACACCGGGAGAAAATCACAAAAGCGGCAGCCAGCAGCTTCCCCTACCTCGCCCCAGGGGCTCGGATCGATCCCTTTCAACTCTAAAATTCTATGATTCAAAGATACAGCTAGACTGTTTATTGTTCTCTTCTGTATATAGTCAGCTTATATATTCACCCTTCCCATTCATATATAGTACAGTGATACTTCTATGTACTTACTGGAAGTTATTCCTTTGCCATTCCCCATGTATGTGTTTTTCTCTCTCCTCTATTGGTGTTCCCATTACAGCCTAGTTCAGGAGCTTGTCCACAGTGGGCACTTCATAAATGTTGACAGACTAATAAGAGAGGTCTGTGTAGAGTAACAACTATGAGTCATTACTCATAATGACTCATACAGGCATATATGTGAACTCATACAGGACTCCTTTGGACTTATACAGGCATGTATTCAAATCTTGGCTCTACTTCTTGGGCAAGTTTCTCCCTGGGCCTCCATGTCCTCATCTGTGAAATGGAGTAGTAATATTAGCTTTATCAGATGAAATGAAATAGAATTGTTTTAAGTCCTTGGAAAAATAGTAAGTATGCAATGGATGGCAGATAGAATTATTTTTGTAGTTGCTACCAGAGTGAAAGTAAATCTATTTAATACTTATATAGGGGTTTTCTGACTACATAGTAAGAGGCTTAGGAACAAATTGGTTCTTCCCACACCTACTTGTTTCAAAATATTTTCTCCTAAACAGTGTTCTTGGTTATACCCCAAAGCCTACTTAAGTCTATTCTCCCCTTCCTAGCAGCATATATGATTGGCACAAAGAGGAATCAACTGGAAATGAGCAAAAATGGAGAGACTGAAGTGGGCATGACTTTAGCCTAGCCAGAAAATCTATGCCAAGGCCCCAGCTGGTCTGAAGCATCCTCATGGGGAGTACCTGGCGTGCAATATGTCCCTGCTGGCTACCGAGTGGGCCTCCAGCTGTGGCCACTGGAGAACTGGCCCTGCCCTCACCCTCTTGTGCTCTGCAGAACAGGGGAAGTGTTCAAATGAGCATCCCCTCGGGGGCCCTGTGAACCCCTCCAGATAGGTCCTGACGTTGGTTAGGCCTAGCACAGCATGCACCATGGCCTGAACTGCAAAATAGTCAAGAAAGGAGGGGAGAATAAAGCACAGATGCTTTGTAAAGTTTGTAATTGTGGCAAAAAACACGTAATGTAAATTTTACTGTCTTAATCATTTTTATGTATACAGTTCAGTAGTGTTAAATATATTCATATTGTTGTGCAACAGAGCTTCAGAACTTGTGAAACTAGGCTGGGAATGGTGGCTCACACCTGTAATCCCAGCACTTTGGGAGGCCAAGGTGGGTGGATCACCTGAGGTCAGTAGTTCAAGACCAGCCCAGCCAACGTGGTGAAACCCCATCTCTACTAAAAATGTTTTTAAAAACTATCCAGGGGTGGTGATGGGTGCCTGTAATCTCAGCTAGTCGGGAGGCTGAGGCAGGAGAATTGCTTGAACCCAAGAGACGGAGGTTGCAGTGAGCAGACACGATGCCACTGCACTCCAGCCTTGGCGACAGAGACTCCAGCTCAAAAAACAAACAAACAAACAAACAAAAACAAAACAACAAAAACTTGTGAAACTAAACTCTTCCCCATTAACCAACTCCCCACTTGCCACCCCTCCTCGTTCCCAGCAACTTTCATTCTATTTTCTGTTTCTATGAATTTAACCACTTTAGATACCTCGTATAAGTAGAATCATACTTTATCTTTTTTGTGTGACTAACTTATTTTTCTCATCATAACATCCTCAAGGCTCATTATTGTTAACCTCAGTGGCATTATTCACAGCAGCCAAAAGGTGGAGGCAACCCAAGTATCCATCAATGAATGAATAGGTAAACAAATATACACAAATGGTAGTATATCCATACAATTGAATACTGTTTGTCCCTAAAAAGGAATAAGGTACTGACATGCCACAATATGGATGAACCTTAAAAACACTATGACACATGAAAGAAGTCAGTCCCAAAGGCCACATGTTATATGATGGCATTCATATGAAACTCCAGAAGAGGAAAACCTGTAGAGACAGTAAGTGGATTAGTGGTGGGCAGCACTAATGGGAGATGGAGGCAGGAAGATTGCTTGAGCTCAGAAGTTCACCACCAGCCTGGGCAACATAGCAAGACCCTGTCTCTAAAAAAAATAAAATAACAGCAACAAAAAATTTAACCCGGCATAGTGGCATGCACCTGAGGTCTCAGCCACTGGGGAGACTGAGGCAGGAGGATGGCTTGATCCTAGGAGATTGAGGTCACAGTGAGTCATGATTGCCCTCCTACACTCTTGCCTGGGTGACAGAGCAAGACCCTATCTCAAAAAAAAAAAAAAAAAAAATGTAGATTAGTGGTTGACTAGGACTACAGGGATGGGGCAATGGAGGTGGAGTGATAGCTAAAAAGTACAAGAGTTCCTTCCTGAACTGATAAAAATGTTCTAAAATTGACTGTGGTGATGATTACATGTATCTGTGAATATACTAAAAACCATTGAATTGTATACCTTATTTTTTAAACCACTGTATTGAAGTATGACTGATATACAAAAAGTTGTACATATTTAATGGGGATAAGCATACACTATGAAACCATCACCACAATCAAAGCCATAAACTCATCCATCACCTCCAAAAGTTGCCTTCTGCCTCCTTTATATATTTATTTATTTTAACTAAATTTGTTTCTTTTGTGGCAAGAGTACTTAATATAAGATCTACCTTCTCAGCAAAGTTTTAAGTATACAATACAATATTGTAACTGTCAGCTCTATGTTGTACAGTAGATCTCCAGATTTATGCATCTTGCATATCAGAAACTTTGTACCCTTTGAACAATACCTCCCCATTCTTCCCCACCCAGCCGCTGATAACCACTATACTACTCTCTGATTCTATGAGTTTGACTATTATAGAGTTGTCATAAAAGTGGGATTGTGCACCCTTTGTCCTTCTGTATCTGGCTCATTTCATTTAGCATAACTTCCTCCAGGTTCTTCTATGTCATTGCAATTGAGATAATTTCCCTCTTTTTTAAAGTCTGAATAATATTCTACTGTATATATGTACGACATTTTTTAATCCATTCATCCATTAATGGACACTTAGGTTGATTCCATATCTTGGCTAATGTGAGTAATGTTGCAGTGATTATGAGAGTACAGATGTCTCTTCAGAATCCTGACTTCAACTCCTTTGGATGTATACTCAGAAGTGAGATTGCTGGATCATACAGTAACTCTATTTTTAACTTTTCGAGGAACTTCCATACTGTTTTCCATAGTGTTTGCACCAATTTACATTTCCACCAACAGTGTACAAAGGTTCCCTTTTCTTCACACCCTCACCTTTACACTCACACACTGGTATCTTTTGGGACTTTTTTGATAATAGCCATTCTAACAGATGTGAGGTGCTAGCTCATGACTTTGATTTGCATTTCCCTGATGATTAGTGATGTTGAGCACCTTTTCATACACCTGTTGTTCATTTGTATGTCTTCTCTCATGAAATATCTATTCAAGTCCTTTACCCATTTTTAAATAGGGTTATTTGGGTTTTTTTGTTTTGTTTTGGTTTTTTTGCTATTGAGTTATGTAAGTTCTTTATATATTTTGTATATTAACTTCTTATCAGATAAATGATTTGCAAATACTTCCTTGCATTCTGTAGTTTGCTTTTTCACTTATTGATGTTTCCTCTGTTATACAGAAGCTTTTTAGTGTGATATAATCCCCTTTTCTCTTTTTGTTTTTGTTACCTGTGTTTTTTGTGTCATATCCAAGAAATCATTGCCAAGTCCAATGGCTAGAAGTTATTTCCGTTTTCCTCTAAGAGTTTTATTGCTTCAGGTTTTATCTTTAAGTCTTTAATCCATTGTGAGTTGATTTTTGCATATGGTATGGAATTATGCACTTTATATGGGTAAATTGCATAGTATATGAATTATGTCTTGATAAAGCAGCTTTTGAAAGAAGACCCATGCATGGCAGCAGCACTGAGGGGACCTGGTGCGGATTTGGAGGAGGAGGATTCGGCCTCTCATTTCTGTTTTCTCTGCGCTTCTGCTTCATCCTTCTTCCTGTCTGAGCTGGGCTTTCTCTACTGGCTCTCTCTCTGTCCAAGGAGAAAAGTGGCTTACTCTACATTCTATGGCTTACTCTATATTCCAGCCGGCTGCAGTGCCCATTAAGTAGAATCTCTCACCTGATTTCCAATTTCCTGGACAGAGACATTTTGCCCAGTGTGATCGGTGCCAGGAAGCAGGGCTGCCTGGTCCTTGCAGTCAGCACCCTCCTTAGTAGAACTGTGCAAGATGAGCAGTTCTGATCCTCAGAGGTACCAAAAGTCAATTTTCAACATTTTTTAGATAGAACCACCATGCAGTGAGCACCTTCCATGGGCCATGTACTGTGTCAACTGCTTTCACCTCTCTAACCCCATTTAATCTCTGATTGACACTGTGTGAAAGCATGTGCTGACTCAAAGAAAACATTCTCAATTGGATTCAACTTGTGGCACATGCATAATGTCACATCAAGGCCACAGCTGGTAAAATCATCTACTCAAGGGTAGCAAGAAGCCTCCTGCAATGGGATTACCAGCCACAGAATCTGGTTACCAGAGGGTGGTGTATTTATCTCACCAAAACACAGGGGTAGGGCTTACTCATGGTTAGTGAGCCATAGTAGCCAATAGAGAGGTGTTTCTAAAATGTGCTTTAAAACCCAATCTACTGGAAGGTTTCTGAACATTAGTCATCTGTGTGTGCCCTATTTAGAAGTCCTCCTTGGCCTTTGGTTATCCAACATCACTCTTGAGAAAGAATGAGTGCTAGTTCCTGAGGCTGAAGATGGGGAGCAAGACACAAGGAAAATCCATATTTTTTAACTTAATCAGTGTCTGTGGAGTAGGCAGAATCCAAATCCAAACCACATTTTCCAAAAAGATTTTCCCTTAATTCTTAAATCCGTGTGTATTATATGAGAAATCTAATCCGTATGTTTCTTACTCATT